AGAGAGAGAGAGAGAGATACGCAAGATGAAAACAAGGTAAATCCCGAACGCGACATTAACGAATGATAGAACCATGCAGAACAAGTTCCGGACATGAATCCGGTCGGCGTGTGACCCGACCGGTTTCGGCTGGTTGCCAATACCAGCGCTCATCAGGGGCCTTAGTCGGTAGGGAACTATACTATGGGTTCCTACTTATCTTGCGTGAGGCCAGTCTATAGAGTTTCCAGAAGATACTAAGGGGTACCTCATAATATCTAAAAGATCTACGCCACACGTCTCAGGTTCAAGGCCAATCTGAAAACCGACTACACATAGTAAAAACACACCGATCGGACAACGCAAAGATCCACTGTTCGAGACCACAAAAATGACCTGAAAAATCATCAATCGTACCACAACCGGGAAGAAGAGACCCGGGACCGACTACAGAACCAACGTACCTATCTGCGTCAAAGGAGAACCACTCTGATCAAAAGCACTGGTACCACAAAGATCCACAGTTCAAGACTCCTCAACACATCATCACGCAGAAAAGGGCGAAATTGGGATCAGCTATACTACCGAAGCCCCGCCACTCTTGGGACGGGGAATGTTCCAACCCGTAAGTACCGGCACCCAATGATGCCATTCCCATCAAATTTGGCCACAATTGGCGGTGCTTTGTGCTCGGGGACGAGGATAGTCGGACTGCGCGGCCCCGAAGGACTTCTTTCCTATTTTCTGTGTGTGTGGGACTTGTGCACACCACTCGCCATCCGCCAACATTTTGAATGCATCTGGTCGCGTTCTCTGTTCGTATGCGTTCGAAAGCTTTGCGGCGGATGCCGAGTGAGGCACGTTGCGGACATTTTAGAGGTCCATTTTGTTTTTCTTGTTTTTCTTTTTTATTTGGACCATTTCTCGATTTATGCGTGCCATCCTTGCGCAGGGGCTATTTGCTAATTATCCGTCTCTGTATCGTTCCAATTTTAACGGATGCCCCGAAGGACGAGGTCCAAATTTCTCTCTCTCAGGGTCTAGAGTAGTTGCGGGTCTCGCCATCCGCCAAGATTTCGAATGAACCTGGGCAAAATTGTGATCAGATGCATTCAGAATCTTGACGAATGGCGAGTGGTGCAACCTCCGTAGGCCCTCAAAGTCTCGCGCGCGCTAGGTATTTGTGATGCCGTCTTGAAATCGTGGACTGCTGGCTGAGTATCGTACGGCTGAGTATCGTACGGACGAGGCCACGTGGCATCACCGCAGTTTTCCATTCTTTTTTTCTTTCCCGCCATGGCGAACATGGGTGTAACGACTGCCGCATCGACGGCTGTGAGCGCGGGATCGGGATCGGCGACGGCGACGATCGTTGCCGCCGCCKCCGTCCAGCATTCATCTGGGGGGGGGAATGAGAAACGCGCGTGGCTCTCTTCACAATGTACGTCGTTGAGCGCCTCTTTTTATTTTTATTTTTATTTATTTTTATTTATTTATATAAATTGAGCGCCTCTTCGCCTCTGCTCTCCTCTTTTTTCTTTTCTTTTCTTTTTCTTCTTTGTTCTTTTTTCCCCCCCCAGCTCCCCGCCCTTTTTTGCTATAATAATCTTGTCCGTATCGTTCCAATATTAACGGATGTCCCGCCGAAAGACTTCCCCTCTCTGGTCTTCAGCTGCACCCGCCATTTTTTGTTCTTTTGTTTTGTTTCCAGCTCCCCGCCCTTTTTTTTTTTTTTTTTTTTTTTTTAGTGCGGAGTCTTTCTATTTTTCTAGACATTTATCTCTCTCTGAGTGTTTTGTAAACCCTTCTCTTTTACTTCCTTTTTTTTTTTTTTTTTTTTTAAATGATCTTTTACTTTTCTCGTCGTCGGACTTTCACCACAGCTTATTCGCAGGTCCAAGGTCCCGCCTATGGTCCGTATTTTTTTTTCTATTTTTTTAATTTTTTTTTCCTTTTGTTTTGTTGAACGCGCCTCCCTTCCCCATTTTTTTTTTTCTCTCGTTTTCCCATTAAAAAAATTCTCCTTCAAGCCACCTGCACCACTCCTCTCCTCCTCCTCCTTGCAGTCTTGTGCATTCCACCATAATTACTTCTCTTTTTTTTCTCTTTCTTCTCTTTCTTCTCTTTTTTTTCTCTTTTTTTTCTCTTTCTTCTGTTTCTTTTCTTTCTTCTCTTTCTTCTCTGGATCAGGACTCGTCCGACTGATGCTTAAGCGTAAGCTGGTGGGTGTCTTGCTATGGTGCCCGCGTTTATTGATTGATTAATCAATCCCGTGAACTCAATCCACTTTCTTCCTCCCTCCTCCTCCTCCTCCTCCTCCTCCTCCTCCTCCTTGTTCTTCTTCTTTGGCAGCGTTTCAATTGCCCGTTTGTACATGAGGAAATGGAAATGCCTATCTGTCTATATGCTTGTACGAGAAACACTCTTGGCCACTGTTTCTTCTTCTTCTTCTTCTTCTTCTTCCTTTTTTTTTTTTTTTTTTTTTTTTTTTTANTTTTTTTTTTTTTTTTTTTTTTTTTTTTAATAAAACCATCAGTTGGCCTTGCTAGGAGGGCCACTGTTTCTTCACTATTCTTCCTCCTTCAACCGCCAGTACATGCCATCATACATCGGCCGGGGTCCCTTTGGGAGGCCGCGCGCACCGTCGACTCCGAAAATTTTCGAGAAGGTCAATCGGATTTGCGACTACGGTCTTCCCCCGAACACAACGCACCCTGATGATGAATGTATACAGGTTATCTTTAAGGTCAGGTACAGCATTAATGAGGGTGCGTTGTGTTCGGTGGAAGACGGTAGTCTGGGGCCATGTATGGTGCTTTTGGCAAGAAAGCTATTGCTCGTATTTTGCGCATATCTTGTTTAACAGACTTTTTTTTTTTTTGTTTTTTTTAATTTGGGACAATACTCCAATCTATTCGTGGGGAGCTGCACGTGCTGGGAACCGGGCCCAGCGTCCCATTTACAGACATTACATGAATACGCGGCGTTTCAATTGCGCGTTTGTACATGGAGAAATGGAAATGTCTATCTGTCGATGCCTTTTCAAAAAACACTCTATGGGCCCACTGTTTTTTTTTTTTTTTCCCACTATTCTTCCTCCTTAATAAAGAAGCTATTCCTCCCATTTTGCGCATATACGTATCTTGTTTATCACACATTGCATGAATCAGATCTGAGAAGCTGTGTGTTAAGCATATGTGAGATACCGTCTTTCCCCGAACACAACGCACCCTGATTACGAATGTACACAAGCTACCTTTCGGGCTCCATACAGTCAAAAATTCTCAAAAATGAGGGTGCGTTGTGTTCGGGGGACGACGGTAGTGTTCGTTCTGAGCAAGATCAAACTCTGTTTTTTTTTTTTTATTATTATTTTTTAATCGTGGTTTAGTTTCTGATATGTACCTAGGCTACCAGCCGG